AACACTAGTGGCGAATATCTAAATCGGTCGTGAGCCTCCCCTAGGTCGACTCAGCCTTAGATCTGTACCCGAGTGCGGTGTGCAAACATCAGCATTGGAGAAGACAAAGGCGGTCGGGCGTGCTGCTGGCCACCCACCCACCCCCTAGTGTCTCGTATTGGCCCATCATAGGCGCTCGCTATTAGCACTTGCCCCAACAGTTCGGCGGAGGCTACACGGGGGATCTTTGTCTTTGTGTGTGGCGCTGTCCATCCAAGTTTCGAGTTCCCTTTGCCCCTTCCGGCCCGGGGCACTGGCGAAGCAGGCAGCTGCAATCAACTCACTTGCACACCCGGAGTTGCTTCCTCCTCGTGCCCTCCTTCCAAATCGTTACGAAAAGTCCACCGCGTACGAACTTTAGAACCGTGGGAAGAAAAAAAAGCGAAGAGCGCTGAGCCGGCGCCGCCGAGACCCCGGGTTCCATGCCGGGTTTTACTCGGAGCAGCCGAGACCCCGGGTTCCATGCCGGGTTTTACTCGGCACCGCTGAGACCCCGGGTTCCATGCCGGGTATTACTCGGCACCGCTGAGACACCGGGTTCCATGCCGGGTTTTACCCGGCACCGCTGAGACACCGGGTTCCATGCCGGGTTTTTAGTCGGACCACTGAGACCTTGGCTTTCAATCAGTAACCACCGTGTTAAGGAGTTGCAGTAACAGTAATGCTGTAATGACAACATGACGTGGCGTGAGATGTATTCGGTTTTCGCGTTTCTCTCAAAGCACGAAAGGCTGTCAAGACGATGCGATGCGATGCTTAAGCCGTGTAAACTTTACAGAACATGTTTGACTTTGAGTGCGGCTTCTTGAATCTTTTGTTTTGGGATTGGATTTTATTTCTGTGAGCTTGCCCGTGTGTTTTCGTGGGGTTCGGTAGCGCAACGGTTTCCGCTCACGACAAATAACGGTGGCGAATATTTCAACCGGTCCTGGGCCTCCCCTAGGTCAACTCAGCCTCAAATGAGTACCCGGTGCGATGTGTAAACATCGCCACTGGGGAGACAAAGGCGGGCCGGGCGTGGTGCTGGCCACCCACCTCCGTCGTGTGCCGTGCCGGCCTTCATAGGTGCTACTCGCTAACAGCACTTGCCCCAACAGTATGTTACAGGCTACACGGGGGATCTTTGTTTTGTACAGCCCCTTGTGATTTACGGGTGAAATGCGGTTTGTAAGTGTCAATTATCGATACAAATAAAGACCTGAATCTGTGTGTCTCAAACACCTCTTGGGTGCTTCTCGACAAGCTGGAAAGTTGAAATTCAGTAAATACAGTGAGGGAAAAAAGTATTTGATCCCCTGCTGATTTTGTACGTTTGCCCACTGAAAAATAAATGATCAGTCTATGATTTTAATGGTAGGTTTATTTGAACAGTGAGACAACAACAAAATCCAAAAAAACGCATGTCAAAAATGTTATAAATTGATTTGCATTTTAATGAGGGAAATAAGTATTTGACCCCCTCTCAATCAGAACGATTTCTGGCTCCCAGGTGTCTTTTATACAGGTAATGAGCCGAGATTAGGAGCATACTTTTAAAAGGGAGTGCTCCTAATCTCAGCTTGTTGCCTGTATGAAAGACACCTGTCCACAGAAGCAATCAATCAATCAGATTCCAAACTCTCCACCATGGCCAAGACCAAAGAGCTCTCCAAGAATGTCAGGGACAAGATTGTAGACCTACACAAGGCTGGAATGGGCTACAAGACTATTGCCAAGCAGCTTGGTGAGAAGGTGACAACAGTTGGTGCGATCATTCGCAAATGGAAGAAACACAAAAGAACTGTCAATCCCCCTCGGCCTGGGGCTCCATGCAAGATCTCACCTCTTGGAGTTGCAATGATCATGAGAACGGTGAGGAATCAGCCCAGAATTACACGGGAGGATCTTGTCAATGATCTCAAGGCAGCTGGGACCATAGTCACCAAGAAAACAATTGGTAACACACTATGCCGTGAAGGACTGAAATTCTGCAGCGCCCGCAAGGTCCCCCTGTTCAAGAAAGCACATACACATGCCCGTCTGAAGTTTGCCAATGAACATTTGAATGATTCAGAGGACAACTGGGTGAAAGTGTTGTGGTCAGATGAGACCAAAATGGAGCTCTTTGGCATCAACTCAACTCGCCGTGTTTGGAGGAGGAGGAATGCTGCCTATGACCCCAAGAACACCATCTCCACCGTCAAACATGGAGGTGAAAACATTATGCTTTGGGGGTGTTTTTCTGCTAAAGGGACAGGACAACTTCACCGCATCAAAGGGACGATGGACGGGACCATGTACCGTCAAATCTTGGGTGAAAACCTCCTTCCCTCAGCCAGGGCATTGAAAATGGGTCGTAGATGGGTATTGCAGCATGACAATGACCCAAAACACACGGCCAAGGCAACAAAAGAGTGGCTCAAAAAGAAGCACATTAAGGTCCTGGAGTGGCTTAGCCAGTCTCCAGACCTTAATCCCATAGAAAATCTGTGGAGAGAGCTGAAGGTTCGAGTTGCCAAACGTCAGCCTCGAAACCTTAATGACTTGGAGAAGATCTGCAAAGAGGAGTGGGACAAAATCCCTCCTGAGATGTGTGCAAACCTGGTGGCCAACTACAAGAAACGTCTGACCTCTGTGATTGCCAACAAGGGTTTTGCCACCAAGTACTAAGTCATGTTTTGCATAGGGGTCAATACTTATTTCCCTCATTAAAATGCAAATCAATTTATAACATTTTTGACATGCGTTTTTCCGGATTTTTTTGTTGTTATTCTGTCTCTGACTGCTCAAATAAACCTACCATTAAAATTATAGACTGATAATTTATTTGTCAGTGGGCAAACGTACAAAATCAGCAGGGGATCAAATACGTTTTTCCCTCACTGTACGTAGCTTCAAGGACACAAACAGCAAAATATTAACATCCTAGATCTTTATTTTTAAGGCCCTTAAATCTCGATTTTAAGTGTCCCATAAACATGTTTGCGCGTGTCATTCAGAAACCGGTCAAAATATAAGATTGCGGGATTTTATTCGTTTGATAGAGCCTTAAACAGCAAATACATTTAAAGCGAGAACCATTGTTCTTTTTTCGATTTAAAGCTTTCGTGACTGCAGGGATTCATATGCTTAGTTCTTTCGGTAAATTCACGTAGAAGAGAAATAATAAATAATAAAAATAAAACATAATATAATAAAATTCTCACTACTATTATATTTTATTACATTTCATTTCTATTCTTGTATTATTCCCTTCTACGCGACTTTACCGAAAGAACCAAGAATAAGAACGATTGTTCTAGCTTTTATTGTTATTGAGATATTTCGGATTCAAGCGGTTTTGAACGAAAAAAAAATCGCATTTTATGACGTTCAAATCTGAATAATAAAAAACGTTAAAAGATAGGAGCTTCCACTCATAGAGTATTTAGTTCATCAATGTTTGTTCTTTCTAATAAAATAATTAACGGAATCTTTAAACTGAGCGGTTTCCGATGGGTACATCTTCAAACATAAGAAGTTAAATAAAGTCGTCACAGTATTTGCCTTTATTGTGGAAAAATACAGTTTAACACGTAGGGGGCTTTCGCGACCGATATCATCCATACTAGAGGTTTATTTTGGGTTAGATCGCGTAAATATATAAATGTGTCGTTGAAACCGGCCACCACCCGACACAGCCAACTAGTAAGGGTTGTCACGTAAACAGAACGTGGCCAATTCGTCACTAGCACAGCACAGCGGTGTGTTGGAGAGCCAAGCCACAGCATTTACAATCCGAGTACGACGTTTCGCCAGTAATTACAACTAGCTTCATCAGGCGACAGATAGATTATATAGAGGCGTAGATGTGGTGACCACGCTTCTGCGCTCTTGTGCAAAGTGGAGGGGGTGGGGGTTTGATTACTGAGTCAACGTACATGATGCATGTGCATTATGCATTACGCGAGCCCTTTGATCTTGTCCTTCCTGTCTATTGTGTGTATTAAAATAGCCCTACCAACGGTAATCCTTATTGAAGTATAGGCATGCATTTAAATAATGTATTATTTGATGATTCGCTTCCACGCAGCACTAAGGTGTGCAATGCCGAGTGACTAATTTGATCGTACATCTTTAGCATTCAGATATTTTTGACCAATAGCTCTTAACCATTGATAATAGGGTTTCCCCCTTTTTTATGGCAACAAAACAGTCGTGTTCAGATGTTAAAACACCAAACTGACGCCTTTTTTTTACAAGGAATCATGTTACCGCA